ATTTTTACCTAGTACTAGGTAACGATTTAAATTGTAGGCTCATCTTATACCCTGAATCAATGCATGTGAAATGTTTGTATGGGGGACCCACTGTAAAAAAAAGTTGGTAAGGTTGAATTTGTGGGACCATCTTTTACCTAAACTTGTGAATGGGTGTGGTATGAGAATGATTAATTGTGGGTGGTGGGGTCAATGCTTATCAATTACCATACTTCTTACTTTGAATTGGTTTCCATTTTTATTTTTCTAAAGCTGGGATCCTAGGGCTATTTGTTTAATTACGTCAATAAGTAAATTACTTTCTTATTTATTTTCAACCTCACTTTTTTTCTTTTTAAATTTCACCCTTAACCAAAAGGCTACATTCATAGCACTTGAGTCTCAAAAGTTATTTTTCTATTTAAAAGTCATCCTTTTAATCTTAGCCAAATATTCGAAACACTGAACAAGAAACAAAAGTGTCATACTAAACTTGACAATATTTTAAGAGCTTGTAATTATCAAAAGTGAAGCACATTTCATATTTGCACCAAACTTTTGTGTTTCGACGAACCGTTACAATAGCCAAAAAGGTATATAAGTACAAGAATAGGAAGTATTTTTAATTATACATTAATTAATATCTTTTCGAAACGAAAAAGAGAAAAAATTAGGATTCCTCTGTTGGACAGTTCTCGATGTCTTTTTCTTCCTGTAATCCCAATTCATTGGAGTTTAAAGAAAGGGTTTTCATGATTTTTTGGCTATATTGTCAACTGCAGAAGACTTTGGAAGGCTAAAGCCTTTGTTTAGACTTCTATTATCCTTGCTCGTTTCATCTTTTCCATTAAAATCTTTCATTTGAATGACTCCTTTGAACAAATGGGCCGAGCCTGCTTCTTCCATTTCCTCTGATTCTGTTGATGACGTATTTCTGTGCATCATGTACAAAATTAATTGGGCCAAGCCCAATATAAATCCGACCACATTCGGAACCTAGTGAAAATCGACATATAACGAAAGTAAACGTGTTAACACCTTTTCGTGTACTATCTAATCCATGAAGGAGCTACCAAAAATCGAGATATGCTATTCAAACGAGGTTGAGAACGGGGTTTTTAAAAAGGGGAACATGTGTCAAACACCGATTGAATATTTTGAAAAAAATCAAAAATAAAAAAGCACCAACCAGCTACTAACACGTTGTCCCTGTCCCTAAACTCTGTCACTTGCCCTTCTTTGACTAGCATAATACCTGAAAATCACTTACCCCGATGTCGAAGTCTTTAATAAGCAGGGCATAGGCAAACCAAACACCTCCGTTGAGAAATTGGAAAAATGTTAGCCAAAAGGGCATGTATTTCACGCTTTTCGTCTTGATCACGGTTCTCTGCATCATAAGACTTGATTTTAATTCCAATAACAAAAATATTCTTCAAAAATAAAAATCTAAATATTAGTTATTGGAGGTATGAAAACTAAAGTATGATAATTCATGCAAGTACAAATCTAAATAAATAAATAAAAGAAAGTAATGAAATATAATTATTACCATAACGGAGAGAGGTGCTGCATACATGCCCATAGTCAATGCAGCACATAGAATTCCAACCACTGTGATTCGCATTCCCTCTCGAAAGGCTAGCAGAGTTACTGCAATCACAACTCCGAGGAAAAATACATCCACTATTCCTACCAACTTAATAGATTTCACCTGCAAATGCAAACATTAATCATTTTACATTACATATTTCAATAGATTTAACAAAAATGAGAAGGGGGAAAAAAATCTCGTAATCGACTATAAATGTATAAAGATATGTTTAATACTTAATTTGATGTAATTGACATATCGTTGTTGTGATAATGATGATTTTCGCTTGACATTCTTCGTGTCAATACTTTTCACTAGACATGATTGGGTAGTTCGACAATTTGTTGATGACATATAATGTAGATTTAAAAAGGTTAATGCACAAGAAAGCAATAGGGTAGAAAATGTCACAAAAATTGGTGATAATATCAAATTTTGGAGGTTATTTGTTGTGAATACAATCGTTGCTCTTTTTGCTTTGGGTACTCTCTTTCTCTAGAAGTGGCATCCACAGGACATGAAAGTTCATCCCTCTTATAACGCTCCAAGTAAAAGTTGTGAGAATTCGAGTGACGTCGCTTTAAGATGATAGTAACCAATGTCAAACTGGAGATGCAAGTATCGTATCAAAAAGAAATAAAGTTGTAAAATATATATATATAAATATATCTTATTATCAGAGTTGGCTCAACCTTTCCACATTTCGATAGGACCTCAAATCTTAGGAATTTCATTCCAAATTCCAAATGAATAAAAGAATAATCATAAAATAACTAAAATTAAAAAAAATATATATATACACACACACAACAGAAACACCGGTGATACCTGGATATATACATTGAATATGCGTCAACAATATTAAATGAATTTTCGACATAATATAATAATTATCAGTACACATCCTTTAGCCTTTACGGATTTTTATTTTTTTACTAATTTTCAAATAAAAATAATTTTTTAGTTACCGAAATATTAAAAAAAAAAAAAGATAAAACTCTTTTGCCAGAAAAAAGTTTGCCCACTTGGTTGATATCCACTCACATGCGTGGGATCCGAATGAATAAAAAATGCGAAAAAAGTGGGACCCACCTTCAATTGTGAATGTCAGCTAGAGAAGGTGTCGAACCCTCGCAGAGTTGGAAAAAGAAAAAAAGAAAAAAGAGGAAATTCTTCATTGGTGACAATCAACACGAAATCTCCGTCGATGGTTGTCGAGGACATCACGGGCTACATTGTCATCAATAATCACTTACGTGTATGTCGATGATGACTAATGAGATTGTACTTGTCGACATATATTTATTTTCATTAGATATTATCAATGATTCTGTCGAGAATTATTTCTTCCATTTTTCTGATTCTTCTTGAAATGGCTCTTTACAAGATTTTGCCTACTATCTCAAATTGCTTGAGCCCTTCTCTACCTAATATAACATTTCATTGTTTCAACTAATGTTGTGGCAAACTGAGAATCCATTAAAAGGATTCACGACGTCGACCTCAAATTTTTTAATGAATTAAGCTGAGTTGAACTTACTTTTACATTTTTTGGAGCATATACAAGAAACAGAGAGACGAAGATTATATGCAAAACAGCACCAGCACCATTAACATTAAGCACAAGTAAACCTCCTGGCTTAAGCACTCCGTAGAAACTCCACAAAGATGTACTCAATAATGTTGTTATATACGGAAGTCCTTTGAAATTCTCCGTCGATTTCTTCTTCACCACGTGCTTGAAGGTTTTTCTGAAATAATACCAATGGCAAATAATATGTATGTCATCATCGTGGACACACATTTCTTCAATGAACCAAAATTTTATCAATTTTTCAATCACACATTTCGTCAATTTTTATCAAAAATCTTATCAGTTAAATAAAGTTCTTATCAGTTCAATGTTTATATACTT